CACATAATATTGTACAGTCGGGAACACAGATGGGCAAGGAACAGGATTTAGTCTGTAGTTGCTTATCTTAAAAATAGCTGCATAATATTTGAGTCTGTCAATACTAATACCGATCCCTTCCTACAGGACACATTTTACTTTTCAAATACTGAATTCTGCAGTCTTCTATCAGCTGCAAGTCTGACTTGATATCAAAAGTGCTGTCCCTGTCAGCCAGGAAAGGCTGCCTGAAATGTAAATAGTGTGAAAACTTGATAGGACAAGGGGTAGTGGGTTTAAACTGAAAGAGAGGAGGTTGAGATTGGACATCAGGAAGAAATTCTTCCTGGAAAGGGTGGGGAGGCACTGGGACAGGTTGCCCAGAGAAGCTGTGGATGCCCCATCCCTGGAAGTGTCCAAGGCCAGGCTGGATGAGGCTTGGAGCAACCTGGTCTAGTGGAAGGTGTCCCTGCCCATGGTAGGGGGTGGGACTGGATGGGCTTTAAGGGCCCTTCCCACCCAAACCATTCCTTGATTCTGTGATTCTACAAAAACAGCATTTTCTGGTTCTCCCATTCCCTGACATCTGCCCAATGAAAAACTCCTGGATTGCCACTTTAAAAATTAAACAGAGGCTAGTATGTATCCACGTATCTCGCATACCAAGTGCATTTCCAGAAATGAGAAACTAAAAGCACAGTGACTCCAAACCAAAGCCTACCACAAAGCAATGGCTATTAGAGGCCTATGCAAACCAATGAAACAATGTGACTCCAACTTTAACAATTAGTGAATAAGGGAAGGTAAAAGCCATTTCTGAGGGCAAAGGTCTGCATTTCTACATAGCCTTTAAGAATCTGTGACTTCCATGTAAATAACCCATAAAACAGGAATATAATCTTCCATACTCTCAGTTTAAAGCCCACTATGTAGACCCGAGTATGTGCATGTCCATACACAGATGATTTCTCTCTCTGTACCCACATATAAAAAGGCCACACAAATGTCTCATCTCTTGGAATAGGAAGATCCAAATTACCCCTCTGCTGTCCCACAAAGTCCCACAGGTTGTCAGGGACTGTAGCGTGGTGACAGATTTGAACGTCCTGGCTTCTGCCTGACTCATTACAGCATTTTCCATGAATGTGCAGCTCCATGTGCTGCTAGAATTTCTCTGCCCACAGAACTGTCTGCAGTACAAATGAAATCTTAGCTTACAACATCTCCAGTAGGTAGAAAGTAAACCCATAGTTACCTTTCATAATCTTTCACTAAAAGAAACACTCCAGAAGTGTAAATTAAGCATCGATTTGGTGACAGCCTCTGCAAATCCGCCCTGTAGCTGAAGCGATACTGTCTGTTTCTGTTGCCAAATTTCCTGTTTCGGCACCCCAGGGGCATCTGCGGGCCCTGCAATATTTGGTCAGAAGCAAACAGTTTTCTGCAAGATTTATTAATTTTCAAGCCATTTCCTGTTTTCCCTTTGCAACCAAACCCACGCCTTTTGGCGGGTACTGAAATACAAAAAAACACACGATGCAGTGTGAGGAAGTTCTATCACTTGGAAGAGGAGGAGCCCTAGAATGATAGCTACAATTTTTCATGACCTTCCTGCAACAAGGCACTTTTGCTTCCCTGTGAGGTGATCTTTCAGCAAACCATGCTGTACAGAATTGCCATTCTCAATTTTTGAATCTTTTACATAATAGATTTAGGCTTAGAAAACCTTGTGTAAGTCACAAGCAGAGCGTGTCCACAAAACAAATTCTTCTGGAAGTGGAAGTAGAAAGCAAATTCTATTCATAGGTTGCATTTTTCATAACTGATGTTTAGGCAGCTTCTTGTGATATGTAACCCAAAACCCCAGAAACCTTCTGTCCGGTTTGAGACACTGGAGCCTTGGTTTGCAGAAGGGGCAAGCATGCACAGGCTCAGAGAATTTCCAGGAGCTCTGCAGGCCTGGTACTCCCCAACCTCAACCCCAGAAGACCCAGGTGTCCTCAGAGGGTTTCTAAAAAATCAAACACGAAAAAAATCAAATATCAATTCTGGTAATACAGCCCTAAAACGTTTAGACTTTGATATCTATGTAATTCCTTGTGTTTTAGAGATAGCTGTGACAAAAAGGGGAATCATTCCTGAGATATTTCAGGAACATGGTAATAATTTTGTTGTCATCTGCGATTAAGTACAATCAACAGATTTGCGCTGCGCCTGCAGCTCTGTAACAGCAGTCCCTTCTCTCCAGTCCAGTTAGCCCAGGAGCTGGATCAGCATTGTCCCCATTTCAGTGTCACACTCTGCCCTACACAGTATTCCTTGCTTTCAGGATCACAGTAACGTTCACCTGCAGGGAAAGCAAATCTGGAGCTAGGTTTCTGCAGTGTAAAGGAATTACATGTACACATACAGATGATTTCATTCAATGCAATCGATGCCAGGTTGGTGTGCCAACCAAATTGCCAATTGTAAGGCCAAACCATCACCAGAGAAGAGACCATACAAGGCACTACACTTTCAGAAGGGTGTACTTGGGCAGACTGACACCCCTAATACTGCAGGCAACCACACAGAAATCAAGCTACCCACATTTATAGTCGCTACGGGATATAGTCACTGTTTTCCTACTCCCCCAGCTATTTCATTCCTTGCTCTTACTGAACTGGAGACAGCCTAAGCCTCTCACGGGGCGGTGCAAGTGATTGATACGGTCAGACAGAAAGAAGAGATTATGAAATGAAAACATCAGTGTTGCTTCCTAGACCCTTTCCACCTCCTCCCCTAAACCACTGTGACTAAAAACACAGAGCTGCCTGGCAAAAAAAAAAAAAAAAAAAAGAGGGTGACGATGCAGTCATATCCTGGCAATTTGTGGGAATTGTCCTAACACGCCCAGTACAAAAAAGACCAAAGACAACATCTGCATAGACCTAAACCTCTCCGCATTACAGCATTCGAGTACATGGGTAAGTCCATTACCAAGCAAACCCATACCCTTACAAGTAGGTATGTGCTTACCTTCTGTTTTCAAACAATGAGACCACATAATTAAGAACTGCTTTCAACTCAGATGGACTGTTACATTCGAACCTTAGAATGGCTCCTTTATTTTCACAAACCTATTGGCTTAACCGAATTATCATACAGTGAACTACGAGTTTTGCTAAAAGAAAAACTTAATTTGGTACAGTTCAGAGGAGGAGTGCTCCCTCATCTCTCTCTGGCTCCACACTCCCTCCCATGGGTGTGTGGGCTCTCCTGAAGGAATGTTGTTGATGTTTTAAATGAGAGGCTCAGCAGTGGCTCCCAGCCTTAATCTCCTTACTCAGCAACACACTATCCTCACTGGAAGGTTCCTGTCATGGTTGTCCTTAAGGAACAATTTCATCCCAAAATGACAATTAGTAACACATTCCAAGATTTTTCCCTAACTTGTTTT